CCGCCACGAGGACAAGGTCAATCAAGTTCGCGTGGTGCGTGTGCGTGTTCTTCTGCAATGTTGTTGATTCTAACGCTTCAGGTATGGAAGGTTTGCATGGACGACAAGGCGCGATAGTTCTCAATTGATTCATAGAGTCTTTCATGTTTATATGTTTTATGCTGTCCTCATTTATGCATATTAGCGGACGACAAGCGACAAGAGAAAAATGTATGCGAGGATATGATGCAATGATTGATACTATGAAAAATGCCGCCAGGGGGCTCAATCAAGCTGGACGCACAGGTGACGATGTTTTGACGTGTCAACCGCTGTCGAGTTTGGATGCCTCCGCCCTGGATGAATTTGTTAGGGCCAAATGTGATGTTGAAAGGGAGTTTCGGTTAAATTTTTTTTTGGGACAAACATTCATTTTGTGCGTTATCCGAGTAGAAGTACCATGCGCTTTCATACTCAATAAGTACCATTTTCATAGACTAAAAGACGCACCATGTAGCTGTGGACTCCATTGCAAAATGCGACAATTTTTTCTGGTACTTGTACTTCAAGCCTCAGTCATGCCCCCTGCAGAACACAGCAAACGGTAGACTTCGGGATAAAGTTGGCGTCATTGATGTCGGCTCCCCGTGTCAGCGACGTGCCTACGATGGACAAACTCACCGATCTCGAGCTTAATCAGTTAATTGTAGAAGAAGAAGAACCAACCAATGCAGATCAGCCCAAGGCTCTCAGTCATATGTTATCACGGATTTTTCAGGACATTCACCTTTAAAGTCCCAGATGTTACAGAACTCCAGGTGCCATTACATAAAATTCGTTATCGCGACACCAGACTACACAATAAATTCGCTCACCTTCATGAACAGTCCATGGTTCCCTTGTATGATACAGAGAACTTTAAATGGAACTGGGCACTTCCAAAATGCCATCGTGAATCCGGCATCATTCAGTTACCCGATCTTGAAGAGGGGAGAGACAGAGGGGGGGGGGGGGGGGGGGGGTAGCAGTGCGAGCGACTCGGAGGAATCCAGTGGCGAGGACCCGTCAAGTCAACTTGAAGATACCAGCTCGAAACCACACACCTTGGAAGACATCTTCTCGTCGTTCTTTAACACCGCATGTGGTGCTGTTGCCAAGATGAGGAGAAAGGAGATCATAAAGGAAAACATCGGAGCAGTGACTCGCACTTGGAGCTCACAAAACTCCACACGTCCTGTAAAGGATAAAGAAGTCTCGCGGAAGCCAGACCTTGCACTGTTGGATGACGTGGAGGCTCGGTGGGACACCATCAAGGCAGTCTGCGAGTTGACGTCGCAACTGTACACTCCTACAGGGACGATTGGAAAGACGATCGACAGCAAGGCTTACCTTCTCTTGAGACGCCAACCTTGGAGGCGGTTTGTTTTGCTCTTCTCCCTTACCCACGAATATCGTGAATTGCGAGTTCACATGTACTGATCACGCAGGTGGTGTTGTGACTGCCTCCCATCCATATCGACAGCGCTCCAAACCATTTCCTATACATCTTATCCGGTGTCGTCTTCGGCAATCTTGATTGTATCGGGTACGATCCTTCAATCAGTATATTCACGAAGACGCTTCGCCCTGCTCAGCTCGAAAATCCGATTTTTCGCCCTTCTGTGGACAAACCACCCTCACGAGCTCAAGTGCGCAGTTCCACGAAAGGTCCAGAAGGCACTGGACCCAAGAAGATTATCGACGAACCTCAGGCTGAGTCTGACTCGGAGATGGACTCAGACGTAGAGATGAGCTCGAGTTTCGAGGAGAGCCTCTCTCAAGACCCCCCTCAGCTAGAAATGCCCGAAGATCCTCTTCGCAGATCTTTTTCAGACCCGATTGGCAGGATCACAGTGAACGACCACACGTACGATATCCTCGAAGTCATATTCTCCAGTCAGGGGCTTGTTGGGCGCGGCACCGTCTGTTATTTAGCGAGGAGGGACGATGAAGAATACATCATCAAGGATCATTGGGTCCTTGGGGGTAAAGATGCGGCGTTGAACGAGGTTAGGATGCTGCGGGAGATGCAAGGAGTCCGTGGTGTGCCAGAACTAGTGGAATATTGGCTTGTTGAGATCGCGCCCAATGAGGTTGATGAAACAATGAATTATCGATACAAGGTTTTGGGAAGTATCAAAGGGACCTCTCGTACGCACGTTCGTTTGGTTTTGAAGCCTCGCGCTCGACCTTTGCATGCGTTCCGGACAAAGTTAGAGTTAGTGAGCGCTCTTCGGGACATTGTCATAGGTGAGTAATCGTTTATATCTAGTCCGTCTTGCCGAGTTTACTGACATGTTTCTCAGTTCAACGTACAGCGGTCGAGGATCGTGGAGTTCTTCACCGTGACTGCAGCCTTAATAACGCTATGATTGAGGATGATGGCGACGGGACCAATGGACTCTTGATCGATTGGGAATTCGCTGTCCATATTGATGCGGGTCGAAAATACACTATCGGTGGGACGGTCAGTACCAATTTATTTCTATAAGACTCGATGTGCTCACAGCAAACGATAGGGCACATTACCTTTTATGTCACGTTCGCTTCTGTGGCAACTCTCAGAGGCTGTTGGCGATGTTGCAACATCTGCTCGCAGCTGGAAGGCGAAGCTTGCCACGTCTTCCCTCACAAAACCGCCCCCCCCTTATCCTACACCACTACCATGACGATCTCGAATCGCTTTTTTACGTTTTCGTGTGCATCTGCATTGAATACAGGGGTCCCCTTGGAGTTAAACGCGATCTGTCGGCTGATAGGAGTCAAGAGTGGTTGCCGCATCTATGGTCCGCCGACACGTTCAAAGCAGGCAGCGATGTGAAGACTTCGTTTTTTTTTCCACCCCAACGCAGACAAACTCAAGAAACAATTTCACCCCTACTTCGACACGCTAATCCCACTCGCGACACAATGGTATGACTTGATCAGGAACAAAGGGCCATCAAGTGCAGTTACTTTCGGGGAGGTCCTCGATCTGTTGGAAACGCATCTCGCTGAACTTCCGAAGGACGAGCCTTCCCCTGAGCTTCTATTTGCAAAGAAGTTCATCGCGGCACTCCCGAAAAAGAGACACGCGAGTGACCTTGAGGGTGATGATGATCGGGATAAGTATATAAACGAACCGCCGAATACAGAACGTAACATTATCCACGGTCGGATGGGCTGGACGATGGAAGTTGCACCCCAGCCCAAGCGAAGCAGAACTACTTAATTTACGTTTACGACAATCTGAATTTTCTCGCGCTTACATAGTTATGCCCTGCTTACGTTTACATGTACATTAAATTGTTCCCACTCAAGTTTCGAGTCACTCTGCAACATGATGCCTTGCGATCGGCTATGTAATACCATAGTACTCAAAGTCCGACGAAAGGAGGTGCTGCACGTTTTCTCTCAGCCTACTGATTCTGACTCGCCCTCAAGAACAGATCCGTAAACTCCATCAACCTGCGCTGTATTACATTTGGCACACGTAAATTTCAAGTGCTTTTCAAGGTGTGATGGCGGCTAAGATTTAAAAGGTGAGTGTTGGTAAATTGTCGGTGTGGTGGCTCATTTCCCTCCTTCCCTTGTCATGCCTGGAAGCCCTAAGAGAAAGAAGTCGAAGCGCAAAGCGTCGGACTCTGATCCCAAGGCACCGGAAGGGAAAGCAGCTCTGGCAAAGAGAGCGCGTGCTCAGTCTCAGTCGATTATCGATGAAGTCGACGACTCACAACAACTTCGACGAACAGGACGTCAAGGTGCAGGGACAGGAGGTAGGAGCACACAACTGGAGAAAGTGAGCGCTATTTTGCATGCTCCAGCGCGGACCAGCAAACCCAAGGGTGCCACCTCCCTTGATCCGGACGCTCCTGAAAACCCTCTCGCTCCAAAACCACCTCGCAAGGGTGGTGGGAGTCGTCCCAAGGTATCTTTTCTCTTGTTCGTATTGAACAATACTAACAAGACATGCAGAAGAGACAGCAGCCCCCTCCGCCGTATAGCCCTTCAGAAGAACCGAGCACCACGACTTCCAAATCACACTCGAAGAAAAACAAGGTGAGTTTTTAATGCGCGAACGATCACGCATTAATTTTCTATGCAGGCTCCTGTCATTCCTGCCCCAATGTTCGAGTTATTGAACTCTCAACCTACTTTTGCACAACGGGAAGCTCATGGACGATACAGATTTTCGCCACCAATTGTCCCTCCCGGCACGGAACCGGATCTCCAAGCGCTAAACAATTCCTTCGTGGCTGCAGCCAAGGGCGCACACACCCTGCCTGATCCCAATCATTCCCAGACTCGTGTCGACACGTCCCAATGTCACGTTCCGGTTACCAACCCCAACGCCCCCCAAGGCCATCGCACTGTCACTACTTCTAACGTCGAACAGACCCATCAGACTCGTGTCGACACGTCCCAACGTCACGTTCCAATTACCAACCCCAACGCCCCCCAAGGCCATCGCACCATCCCTACTTCTAACGTCGAACAGACCCGTGTTGACACGTCCCAACGTCACGTTCCGGTCATTAACCCCAACGCCCCCCAAGGTCATCGCACCGTCACTACTTCTAACATTAAAGACCCAGCACTCTCCAGCACCACTTCAAATACCGTGCTGCTATCAGACGCTAACTTTTTCCAGAATTTAGATCCTGCCCTCCGGCCGACTGGACCGTCGGGTGCAGAGTCCGAACAATCCAACACGTCCAAGGATGATTCGTCTGGGTCGGATGAGGGTAGCGGAGACGAGGAAATGGGTTGGGGAGAAGCCCGTGGGCATCATAGTACACACCCTGGTAAGTTTTCGCATGTTTCCCTTCAAGTTAATTAAAAAGTCGCAGGTTTCTCGAGGGAAGAGCTACCACCCCAACCTCGGGTGGCAACTGCTCTTCCAACAGACTTTGAATTCCAGTATTCTCGCGACGAAAGTGACCAGGTTGCTGAGAAGACTTTGGCGGTCGGTAGTGATTCGGGCGATGATAGTTCAACGATGGATCAAGAGGTACAAGCCCGCTTATTTGTTGGAGTACGCTAATTTTCCGTTCCAGCCCAATGACGTCTTGAAGCTTCACCATGAGAGAAACGGCCATCCCCGACTTCCTGATCCTGCTCTGCTGGAGCTTCTTCGTGCTGCCGAGATAGATACCTCCAATTCGAAGGTGAAACGGAAACGGAAACGGAAATCGAAACAGAAACAGAAGGCGGTCGTTGGATCCGAATCCGACGATGAAGGGCCCAAGGCCACCCAACTGGGTTGGTACAGTCCACGCTGGAAGGCCTTTCTCGAGGACGCAAAGGTGGAGTGTCGTGCCCAGCAGGCACTGGAGAACCCTTTTCCGAGCCTTGTTGATGATCTCCCGGTCGCGATCACAGAGTCGCTCTCAGGCCTCTCTCGTCCAATGGCTTAAAAATGGTCAACAAGTTGATGCCGGTAAGCTACTATTTCCCTCGAGACATTCTGCTGACTCGAGGTGTCTACCAGGTGTGTGGCCCACTCATAAGCCTGACATGGCGAGGCTGGTGCGTATGTCTATTTTGTGGTGCGCCTAGTGTCTTATTTTTTTTCTAGCTGTATGACGACTTAGCAACCTGGCGCTCCGATCTAAAGAAAATTGCCATCTCCATCACACCTTCCGCATATGGCCTTTCCCCGCCAGACGACATTCCCGTTCAAGTGCGTGCAGCTTGGGTTCAAGCCGCAGCTGTAGAATTACTCGACGATGGTAAATTTATGCGCCATGGACTAGACGAGTTCGGGAAGACTAAAAATTTTGCGCACCCTGCGCTTCTGGAGGCCATCATCTTATTCTTCTACACAGGATCTTATCGCATTGCTCGTAGGCGACCAGCCATTTTTCGGAAGGAGGTACCATTAACATGCTTAGCTCTCGTTTGCACTGCGGTACGTCCTCGATATTGACGTGTCATTGTTCTGACACATTATTTCAGTTTGATTGCGTCTTCCAGGGCCTCGAGAAAAATGGTAACGGCAAGTTTTATTCAAAGTTCGCTGCCAAGGAGTACGAGTCCGTTTATCTTTGGTTGCTTGGGCTACTCAATGATGTCATGAGTGATCCATATCACGGTCCGAAGCTGGTGCAGCAGCTTCGTGAATGGGCCAAGATTGGATGGTAAGTAGTCTTTTAACATCACATTCAGCCCTAACGAATTCATCCAGGGCGGAGGCATCCAAACTCGACGGCGTTGACACGTCGAAACATCGTCACCTGCGCGTCCAGCTTGATTGAGCCCCCTGGCGGCATTTTTCGTAGTATTAATCATCACATCATATCCTCGCATACGTTTTTCTCTTGTCACTTGTCGTCCGCTAGTATTGTTTCACGCTGATCGAATATATCGTCATTTGTTTGCTACTGTTCCCGAGCCAAGTAAGCCACCTTCTGAGTGGTTTGTGAGTGTCTGTGCACACATGGACAGATCTCTACAGAGACTAATGATGATATTTAACACCCTTCTGAGTGGTTTGTGAGTATCTGTGCAAACATCCTGGACAGATCTGTACAGACGGACAGAGAATTATTTTGGTCCTTACTGGGCGGGTCTGTGGGTGTCTGTGCAGAGATCTACAGCAAAAGTTCTACTGTGGCAAACTAGCTAGTAGGGACCAAGCTGTACGTATGGCGCGCTGTCCAGATCTGTACAGATCTGTACAGAGCCTGGTAATTTACTGATGTAAAGCGTTCGGATTAGAGTTGACTCGCGCTTCTAACTCTGGCCGTCGTTTAAGGGCGCGAGATAAAGCTGATTGACTAAAGGCCAAAGCCCCTGTGAGTTCTTTTTCGAAGTGTAAAACTATTTCGGCTTGTGACTGATGAGGATGGGTATCAATGTATGCGAAGACAGCGAGCCAGTCATTTAAGGTGAGATTTTTTCGAGTCGTGACCTTATGAGGTTTGGCTGAGGTAGTGGGTGTATCTTTATTCTTTGTGACTGTCTGCGAGCGCTGCTTGTAGGGAGCTGGCTTCTCCCGCGGTTTGCGGGTCTTTTCGGACATGCGAGAGGAGAACAAAAACAAATTTCGACACCGCTATGCACTTTAGACATTAGTATAGGTACCGAACATGGCCTCATAATGCATAAATCAGCCCGGAGGCTTATGCGTTATGCGTTATGCGTTTCACATGCATATTTCCCGCGTCCCACAACGGGACCCACCCGAAGATGATGCATTATCAAAATTATGCATTATGGGGCCATGCATTATGAAAAAGTGTACTGTAGTTTGATTGAGTGCGTGTTACATGGCTAGGTCAACACATCAGCAAAACCCAGGATCCCTTTTTTGACTTTCAGCGGCTTTTTTGCGCTTGAGTTTTCACGCAACTTTGCAAATGTGCACAAAGGTGTGACAAGGCGACCAAAGACTTACTTGGTTCAAGCCGTTCAAGTCACACAAGAGGAAAAAAACAATCAAGGCTTGAAAACGTAGTTAATTAGATACAATGTGTAAAACCGACGAAAATGACTATGATGCGAGCTCAAAAGAGTGATGATCAGCATATTTATTCACGTAGAAAGTCCGAAATGTGTCGTATGAATTGTGTAGGGTAATATCGCGGCGAAGAAAACGTCTGCCGTAGACAGGAATAAGGTGAGCTGCACGGTAGATTGTATCCACGTGTATGATATTGTAGATAGCTGCATTGTTAGCACCGCAGGCTGGACGCACCATCCACATGCCCGTATCTTCGTCGGGCGAGTCTCCAATGATATCGAACCAGCGCAAAACGGCGCACGGGTATGTCGTTCCTCCGTAATTGAACGAGAAGAAGGCACAAATCCTCGCAACTTCAAGTCCTCGAATGCCCACATCTTCCGACCCAACGTTAACGAAAACGCAGTCATAACGAGGGGCCTCGTTCCGCCACATGGGGCAAGCACGAATATGCTCAATCCGCATGCCACCGATCCCACTTAAGTCGCTCGGGGCATAGAACCGTGAGCATGCAGAGTTGAAAACTGATATTTTGCCCTCATATCGAGGGCATCCTGCGACGGGAATTTCGGATGCATCTCGCGGGTCATCCGGGCGTGTCTGCTGGAAGAGAAAGCGGCGGATCATCTCAGGCAGACGGGGAATATTCAGCTCTTCAGCGAGAGCCAATACATACGTGCACGTTTTGTCTCTGTGCGAAATCAAATCAGACGTCTGGATTCAAAGACAACGAATATACTTGCGAATTGTTTGCGCCAATCGTGTATGTGCTTGCAGAATTGTCGGGCCATGGTCTACTCCGTCAATGCCATCTTCGGGAACAGACACGCCGAGGTTTCCGTCGTGAGAGTCGTCAACTGCATCTTCGGTGGCAGGAAGTGCGGGGTCCCTCGGTTCATCTTGTTGCACTTGCGGGATTCAACATTAGCTTTCAAGCAGCTGAAGATATGCTCTGAACTTACAAACTTGAAGGGCTTCGAGGGCTGCTGAAAGGCAAGTCCCATTCAACATCCCACGGCTGGTAAAATCGACTCGTGCGGCAGCCAGTTTATCGAGTCGTTGATTGGTGACGAGCATTTGACCAAGCGCGTTGAATTTGTTTGATCGTCGCCATGGACCTTTAACAGCCTTGATATGCTTATTCTCTGTAATAGACGAGCACAGTCCATTTGGAGCGCCAAAGAGCTGGATGAGTTCCACGTAATGAGCGACAGCGTGTTGTCGTGGTAGCGAGAATGTGGGTATGGTGCCGCTCGTCAGAAAAATGTCACGATACTTATGGAAGCTGGAAACGGCGTCTCGAACTTGCTCTAGCGTGCGCTCCGTAATGGTATTCCGTCGTACCATGTAACAGAATTCAAGAAATGCACGGAAAGTGCGCACAATGTCCACGGGGACGTGTCCCTCGATGGCTGCTATATAAA